TGTTTTATATTGTTTCTGATTTCATCTCTCTATTTTTCCCATTGGGAGATGACTTTAAGTACTTTCCATATGTTGATGATTTCAGCCCAATTGTTTGTCTTGGAGGTGTTTCCAATTCACTGTATTCCAAGGTGGACTCTTATTTTCTTCCCCCTTCAACTTGTTCCTCTCTCTGACTTCATTGTTTCTGTTAATGACTTTGTAGCTTGCCCAGATATTCAGCCAGAAACCTGGAAGTTACGTTTGGCTCCTTCTTCTCCCTCACCATTCTATCTGCCATCCTCTTCCCATACATCTTTCACATGTTCTGTCCATTCAGTCCCTAGAATATATCTTACTCCACTAATTTTTCCATTTCCACTGCCACCAACCTAGTCGGAGCTATCATCAGCTTATGCCTGGATGCTTGCAATATCCATAACTGGTCCTTTTCTCTCTTGCCTCTTTTCAGTTCATTCCTTGAATTTAATTGCAAATGCAGTGGGAAGCCCTATGAGTTTTAAGTAGAAGGATGATATGATATGATTTGTGACTTTAAAGTGATCATTCTGAAAGATGTGCAAAGAATGACTCCTTACCATTATCTGGAAGGGCTGGCATGATCTGGCCTCTGTCAACCTCTCCAGTTTCATTTCCTGTCTCTTTCTTGCTATGCTTCAGTTACATTGGTCTACTTTCAGCATTTTTTTCCCCCCGTATGCCAATCTTTTTCCTACCTTAGGGCTTTCACACGTGTTATTCTCTTTGTTTTTCAAGTTCTCCGCCATCTCCTCTCCCCTTGGCAGTTCCTATAACTGTTTATTTAGTTACCTTCTCTGCTATTCTTAAGTCCAAATGGGGCAGGACTACATCTTTTCGTTTACTTATGTATACCCAGTACCTATCATAATGGCTTACACAAAGCAGCACTCAGTATTTGGTGAATAAATAAACAACTAGTAATTACTGTTTTTGTTCACGCGTTAAAAAACATGCAAGCTCTATGTTAGGTGCTATGAGAATATGCAAAGGGTTGGTAATACACAATTATAACCCTGAAATAGTTCCCAATTTAAAAGGAGGAAAAGGATAAGATATGAATAATATTGTAGCATGGAAGAAGGCACTGTAGTTGGTGTAAAGTTCTTCCACTAGCCTACTATGTGACATCAGATGAGTTATTTCCCTTCTCTCTTCCTTTACTTATCCATCTTTAATATTAAGAGGTTTGACTAGTCTTTCCTAGGGCTTTGGTTCTCAAATCTGGTGTGCAATTAATGGTGCATTAGTTAAATTATTTTTTTCCAGGCTCTATCCCTGGAGAGTCTGATTCAGTGGGTCTGGGGTGGTGTCCAGGAATTCCCAGGTGATTGGGATATACAGCCAGGTGTAGGAACTATTGATCTAGGCTTTTCTAGGTTTTCCATCTTATAATTCTAACTGTAGTATAAGGCAAACTGAAGTTGCAGCAGGAGCTGGACAAATTAAGGTATTCTATTATTCATATGCAGGGAAAATATTTTTTTACTTGGGTGATGGGGGGCACTTGATGGAAATGGTGATGTTGAAATGGACTTTGAAGAATGGATGGAGATATGGGTAGGTGCAGAAGTGAGGTATGATTGGTGTTCAGTCAGGCTTAGTTGAAGGCCAGAATATATGCAAGTGAGCAGGAGGGAAAAAATTACCGGTTTTGATGCAATGGACCATAGTTCTACTCTCGTTTTCCCCATTTTACCTGTCATATTTGGTTGTCCTTTTGGAGATGAAATCTGATTGTATGATTGCAGCTTGATCTTCATTTGGTAGAAGTGAAACATGTGGTGACAGACACCATGGAGCTGCTTTGAGAAATAATTGGGCATATTCTTCCTCAAGCCTTTTGGGGCTGTGAGATCTACTTTGAGATCTACTTTGACCACCCCATTGGTTTTCTGGTTAGACACAAAGAATATCAGGACCCACTGTGTTATCTAAAATAATAGTTTTGCTATCAGAATGATTATTATTAAAACAAAGTTGGCTTTTTTGTTTAGATGAAACCATATAAAGGCAACATTCTGAGTAAATTATATAGCGTCCACATGATGAAATAATGAGCCTAAGTTTAGGGGATGAAAGTAATGATCTAATGCAATATTTAGAATGGATATACAGTATGTAGTTATTAACCTAAAAGTCACATCCTGCATTCTTTTGATTTGTGGAAAATTTGTCATTAATTGCCAGGAAACCTCTGATTTTTTTATACATAATCACGTCATAGCTGTTGACTGCCTCCCCCTTCTCCTGTTTTATAATACATCTTTGTAAATAGTAGATTACTTTCAGATTAGCAATGCCCCTTTTAAACATTGGGTTGCTAAGTTTAGCCCTGTTGCTTTCTTTTTTTAAAAATAGAATTCTTTTTTCCGCCAACTTTGCCTCTGAGTAGTTACTGACAAATCACACTTTGTTTTTGGATGGCAACTGGCTTAAAATCTTATTTAACCTTTCTGCCCAGTGGGAGCTTGCTAGTTCTGAAATCCTTTTGTTTTCATGAGTTACCATTGTGTGGAAGAAATGGATATGGTATTTCATTTACAAACAGTCTGCGAGATGAGTTTTGACCCTTCATTCAAACTCATTCTAAATGGGGCTACTTTTATTAAATCATTGTGAAAGAGAGCTTATCAAGGCAAGGCCAGAAACACAGAAGTCAAAATTGAGAAGAAAGAATAAGGTAGTGGGCAAGAGATGAGGCAGCTAGGCTGATCTCCAGCCTAGAATCCAGCCTGTGTCTACCTTGGCAACCATCTCAGATCCATCTAGGATTTACGGGTTGACCTGTGATCATCCAGTCAGCCCACTACCTAATGCAGCCCTTGCTGATCTTGGTCTACTGACTATCAGTTGACTTTGAAATTAGAAAAGTGAAAACATGAAGCCTCTTGTGATTGTTTGCTTGCAGAAAATTACCTTTATTAATGTGAATTCTTGCCCTCTAGTAGCACCAGAGGTCCTTAGAGAATGACTTCCATCAGAACTTATTTGAAAGGAACAAAAAACCCCTCTCAACATAGCTAGATCATAGAAGGACCTTTTTTATAGAAAAATCTCAGGCTTGAGAAAATGTCTCCAATTTCAGGAAGAGCCTTCATGGGAAAATGACTATTGCATCCCTGGTATCTTTCTATCTACCAGACTGTTAAGAAGAACAATAGAGTCAGAAGTGTAGACCTTGGAAGCAAATTTAAGATCATTTACTATTTTGCAAATGGTATCCTGTGTTCACGTTGCCTAGGATGGCATTGTACGCCTGCCTCTACTTCACCAGAGCACCCAGGATATTATCTGCTTACACATTAGGATTTCAGTATTATTTGGTTTGATATGGGAGTTCTTTTTTTAAAAAAAACATTTGAAAACCATTGGTTTAGGTCATATGCCCAAGATTTTATAGAGTATGTATCTGAAGGTCAAAGAAGTTAAATTATATACTTATGGTAGTACAGCTACTTAGAGGTTGATAGACGTTAGAAACCATGAATGTGGACTTCTCAACCAGTGCATTTTTACTACAAAATGTTGATTTGATTTTCCATTTTGAAAGACACAGAAGTTGTATGTGAAATGGTGATTAGCACTAGGCAGCCCCAGGCAGCCCTGGAATGCTCCATGATTCAAATGCCCAAGACCAGATGGAGGTCCAGAAGTGGATGACTCAAAGTTTATTAATTTTGCCACCTGGGCAGTACAGCCGAACCAGCTGCCATAAGGCAGTTTCAATTTCAACAGAGCAGTAAATGAACATAAAAGTTAGTGTAAATCCCAAGAATAGAGTAAAGGAGAATGGTTGCTGCTGCAGGGAGATTCACACAGGCTGAACCCTATTGATAGCCCTTGTAGGAGGCATGGCTGCCATGCCAGGTAGAGGGCAATAACAAATTGTGGCACCAAGCCCTGAAAAATCACCCTTTGAGTTGTTCCAGGAGCCAATCTCTATTTGGGATATGTTCGACCTGGCTTGGTAGATTCCCAATCACATTTGATGATCTAGAATGGGAAAAGCAAGCCCATGCTATATCATTATTATGTTATGAGGCCAGAAGCTTTTTTTCTGGAAACTATAGAAAGTTGTTGTTAGGTCACTTTCTTTCCATAGTTTTGGGCCCTTGGAGGCATGGGTATTCATTGGAACATAAGCTTCCTGTGGCAAGAAATCAAGTCATTATCCTCATGTTATCATCATATGGAGTTGAATTATTGTAGGTTTTCAAGATCTGTGTATGAAATGCTGCAAGAGTCAGAGGTTGACCCTACAGTTTTAGATGACCCTTTTAATAGATCTATTGTTTTTCAAAACTGAAAGAAGTATAATAATGAGAATATGGCCCTAGGACCAAACTGAGAGAGGTACAGTAATTTTTGTTTAAATGAGAATGATACACTAATGAATAAAAAAAAGTCAAATAATTTTGATCCTCTGTGTAAGAATGCTTTGATCAGCAAGTAACAGAAAACTTGACTAAACTGACTTAAACAAAATAGAGGTTTATTATTATTATTTTTTCGTGTAATGAGAAGTTTAGAGGAATGTGGATCCTGACTTGGGTTCACTTGCTCAGTGATGACATGAGCTCTTTTTGTGTCCCTTTGATGGAAAGAAAAAAGGTAAAGGAATGTGTAATTGCTAATGTATTTTGCTATGGCTTTGATGTTAAAGGCTGGAGTGAGGTTCCATCTGCTGGGTCAACCTCTGCCTTCAGATGATCGTTTTAGGAGCTGAATGTTTTTGTGTTTGTTTTTCTCAGTTGACAGTTACTCAGTACTTAGCCTCATGCAATAATGTAATACTGCTCTTCCTTTCTTTGTATGAGGAAAGTGTCGATGCGTGCATATTTTCTAACCAAACCAGATAGTTTTCTGTCTCTTTTTTTCCTTCTACAATTTCACATGAAGTGAAATCAAATGAGAACTTTTATATTATAACCTTCTGTTTGTGAGTGTAGATAAACTAGCTTTTTTTTTTTTCCTGGTAGGTGGCATGTTTGACCCAGGTAGCGGCTAATTATCTTATTCACCAAAAGGAAGCAAAACGTTGGGGCACAGCTCATGGCAGTATTGTTCCTTACCAGGTAAGAATACAGCAATATAGGGTTGGGCTACTATAATCTGCAGTTTTGTATGATATGAGTTTGGGAAATTATTTCTTTTAAAAAAAAATCTTTCAGGGTATTCTGTTATATGTCTTTGTCTGACTATAACAAGGTTCTGTTGTTCACTTTAAATTCTGTTTTGCACATTTCTTCATCAGAAGATTAGTAACAGGACACTTAAATGGATCAAAGGAATTTGCTGAATGTGAGTGACTTTTGGACTCATATGATGGTTTTCTTTTTTCTTTTTCACCCAAAAGAGGCACTGATTGTAGCCATTTTATAAAGCATGGTTTGTTCATCATGTCAATTATGAACAAAATGTTACCTTCCCCCGCTGACAATAATATTCTCACAGGGTTTGATTAAAATGAAAATTTGCGTGTGAGGGATCTTCAGTTGTTGAGCAAAGCAGATGGTTCAGGAACTTCTGTTCTTTATTAAATGTCTAACCTTGTCCTTAGAAATTCTTGACTTTGGCTAGTGTGAATGAATATGTCAAGGGACTGTGATCTTTCAAAAATAAAAATAAAAACAAAAACAAAAACTCTAACTCTTCTTCCAAATCCCTAAACTTTGCTTAGCCCAGTTGCATCATATCTCATTGTACTTAATAATGTCTTTGCTACATCTTCTGTACTGTGTTGTAAGTTTAAGAGTAGAGATATCTTTTTCATCATTGTATCACTTCTCACCTCCAGTAGAAGCACATGCTAGATATATATAAATATCTATTGAATAAAGGAGTACATTTTACTGTAGTTATTTCAATGCTAGTGCTCTTGACAGAAGACATAAAAGTCAGCATTTTCCATTTGCCAGGAAATCTATCAACACTGTTAATCATCCTTTTAGTTTTAAGAACATTATTTCCTTGGGAAAAACTAGTTTCATTTCCACTTTTTTAATACAAATTTGAGGAAAGCAGTGATCCAATGTGAATCTAGAATTCTTCTCTATTTCTATTTATGATCCCTTTACGCCTGAGGCATTACTATGGTTTTTCTGTGGTACCTACTGTTTTTTAACACATTTAGTTAATCTTTTGGCATAATTGCAGTTGTGGAGACATTTTCTTTAGTGCCTCTCCTCTTTTCTCCAGCAGTGGTTTTATGATTACCATTAGTGACATTTTGCTTCCCTACTTTTTACCCCTTTGTGGCTGATCCTACACTTCTAGCCAGACCAGATAAAAAATCTGGTACCTAGATTGGATAGATGAACTCCAACTCTGATCTCTTGCCTCTTTGTTGAATATTCTTTCAGATCCTGCTGCCTTTGACAGGAGAGTGCTGTGATTTCAATTCTTTTCTTCTACTCCACCCCACACCCTCTCCATCAAACTTGCTCTGGCCAAGGGGTCTCATCAACTAATTTATACTCATCTTTGATCATGGAAATCCCTCTCAAGGGCATTTTAACAGAGGACAATGTTGGAACCCATGGGAATTTATCTCAAATAATGGAAGTCCAGTCTTCAGTTTTTGATGATTACAGATAAAGCATTTGTGAGTTGGAAAGCTTGATAGTGTAATTCCAAATCATATCACATAGGGAAGTGTTCACTAAGTTCTAGTATAATGTTTGTAGTTTATTTTTTGCTTATTTATTTATTTATTTTTTGTGAGGGAGATCAGCCCTGAGCTAACATCTGCCAATCCTCCTCTTTTTGCTGGGGAAGACTGGCCCTGGGCTAATATCCGTGCCCATCTTCCTCCACTTTATATGGGACACCGCCACAGCATGGCTTGACAAGCGGTGCGTTGGTGCGTGCCCGGGATCCGAACCGGCGAACTCCGGGCCACCTCAGTGGAGCGCGCGCACTTAACCGCTTGCGCCACTGGGCTGGCCCCTGCTTATTTTTTAAATCAAATGTCTTTTAAAAATATTTTGTGTAGACCTCAGCTATCCCTCCTGGGTGTTTGTACCTAGAGCTCTGGCATCTTGGGTGTGCTCTCAATTATTTTACTGAGGTGAAAAGAAATTTAGAATCTTTAGCTTTTATTATGGTAGGTAAAAGATATGGGAGACTGTGTGAGTGTGTGTGTGTGTCTATTCTTTGAAGATGGAAATGTACTTTTTCTGCTTGAATTGTCCCAGTCCCATAAAATGGATACTGTGCTTATTTGATCTAGTTGATTGCATCTTTATTATCTATAAGAAATAAGAGAAGATTACTAGGGTCTTTCCTCAGGAGCGCAGAATAATGTGTTTCCTCTTGGTGGAGAACTGGTTCAGCACTGTGATTAAGGAACAAATGCAAATTTAGCTTGAATGAAAGTAGCATAACCAAGATGGGTCCTAGATATGTTTATAAACCCTGGTCTGCTTTCAATTTTCAAAATAGATTTGGGAAATATGTTTATGGGTGAATGCCAGGATAATTATAATTCAGTTTTCTATAATAATTACAGCTTTGCATCTAATTTGAGTTGTCTCAGTTTTGAGCTGAAAGTCTATAATGGAAGACCCTGATGGTCTCAGGAATTAGTTAAGGTGCCTAGCTCACTCTCCTCAATTCTTGTTGAATCCTGTCTGAAAGAGCATAGACCTTGAATGCATGGAATGTAAATTTCTGGAAAGTAGTGATCCTTGATTCGTGGGTTATTATATATACATGCAATTCTTAACTTCTCAGGTTGATTATCCACTTATCTTTCCTCCCTATTCTTTGGATGCCAACTTTTTGAGAATAAGTAAGCTAAACAAAAGTGGAAAGAATTGAGAGAATCATTTGGCTACTTGTTGAACATATTGGTGCATCATACTTTTCTGAGAATTCAGATTTTTAAAAAGAATTTTTAGACTTCAGTGCTTCTTTTGTTCCCATTCCACTTTGCCCCTGAGAAGCACCTAGCCCAAGGTTATTAATAATTACATAATGTTCATGTTAATATTTTTAATGCATTGGTATTATTTTAATGTTTTTCAACCCTTGAAACAATTATATTTATAAAGACAGGAGGTTTTTAGGGATGGGAGAGGAGAGTGCAGAGAAAGCAGTTAGTCAGTCTTCAAAAAGAATACATTTTATTATGTAACATAGTTATCAGTGGTGCCAGTACCCTTTAGATATATGACTAACATGGTAATCCCCCTAATTTCATAGCCTGTGTATATTCAAAACTCTTTCCCAAATGTCTTCAACATCCTGGGAGCCTATATTTGCATGTTCTCCTCTGCTTTCTGGGCCCACGACCCACACTGACCTCTACCTCTCTCAAATATCGTAGAAGATCCGTTCACAAATACACTCATGAGGATGGGAGGCTATACTGAATATTTTGAAGAAAAATGGAGTTTTTTATAGATGAAACTTGCACAATCTCTCACAGGAGGCCTCACCTTTCTTACCATATCCTTTGGCTGCTCCTGGGGAGTTTCACTGTCCTAAATAACCTAAGAATCTCCCCATATTTTGTTCCTTTCTCTCCCTTCTTTTTGGCTTCTCTTCTTTTCAAGAGCAATGAATTCCTCTAGTCTTATACAGAGTTATTACACTCTCTAGTGTAGGCACAGATCTTTGGGTCGCTACCTGAATACTATTTTCTGTTTATATAAGAGTTCCTTCTTAAGGGGCGTGCTGGTGTGTAGATCCAATAGAAGCCTACTAAGCTCTCTCTGTGCTCCTGATCTCTCCCAGTCCATACTACTTGCAGCAAGACTTGAGGGAGCTCACAGAGTTCCATGTGCTCCTTCAGCTACAGTGTTGCCCCCATGATCAGTATAAACTGCCCAAGAGACCAGTCTGGAGAATGAGACTACAACCACAACTATCTGCTTCCCTTAAAAGATTACCAGAACTAATCTCATCATTCCTTACACATTTGCCTCAGTCACCACCAGGACTGTAAGCTTTCCCGGCCATCTATTATCACCTGGGCATTTATTCCCATATGGCTCTGTCCATCTCTTCTTTTGATCCAGTCATTTCTTTTGTCATCAATCTTGGTGGCTCTAAATCCACATACAGGAGCCATGCCACAGCCTATCCTCTCATTTCTTTAACCTCCCATCCCATCACTTTTAATGATCTTTTCTTGTTTTCACATGGCTCCCACTCAAGTATTTCTAAAACTTTAACACGCATATAAATTATTTAGAACTTTTGTTAAGATGTAGATTCTGATTCCAGGTGATGTTGATGCTGCACTATGAGTAGTAAGTTTCTAGACCTAGACTTTATTATTATTGATGACTACACCATCTCCTTTGTCCTAAACTGGCAAAATCCCACTGCCTATTAGATTTATATTCCATCTATTCCATGTCTATACCCAAGCAGTGGATATGGCTAGAAGAAAAAATAACTACCCTTTTGACTATCTCACTTTTCTCTCTCAAGAGGTCCCTCAGCTTTACCCAGCAATCCTGCCACACTTACCTACGTATTTATTTTCTGTCTTTGAGATGACTATTGCACCTCTTCTCTCTCCTCAAATCTTCCCCCCTCCATCCTTAGCCAAAGACTTTGCCTCTTATTTCACTAAAAATGGATGTAATCAGAAGAGAACTACTTTGTCTTTTCTCTACTGTACCTCCCCAACTCCTACATGTGTACCCACATATAGTTCACTTCATTTCCTGCTATCACAATGAATGAACTGTCCCTTTCCACATTTTACCTACCTAAAGGCATTGCTCCTGCAATGTCTCCTCTGTCACCTGTATTATCCAGCAGTGCACAAACATATGATTACATCCTTTGCCTTAAAAAAACCCATCCACCCTCCTTGGACCCTCAGGGCATGTCTTTTTGTATTTCCCATCCCATTTCTCCATGCTCTTATATTACAAAACTCCTCAGAAGAGTTTTGGGTGGTGTCTGTTGGAAGGAAGCACTACACCACCTATTCTACAATGCCATTTGTGCCTCACAGGCAAAGAGATTTTACAGCACTCTGAGGCCTCAGGAGTTTGGGTGCTGTGGAATAGTCAAGGGAAGTTGGCTTTATGAGCAGTTCATTAGTAAGAATACT